GAAAGCTGTGAGTAAGAAGGACATGCTGATGAAAGGGCTGGAGGCTTCAAAGTTTTTCTTTATCGTTACTATGTTCTGGTGATCACATGACTGATTTTCAGAAAGATATTGGCTCCAGACTGATGCCTGCCTTCAACACTGCCTCAAAAATCCCCTATTCGGATGTGAATATTGGGAAGGGGACGGCTCATCCTCCGCAGTGGACTTCAGACAGTACCGTAGCTGAGGTCACTAGCATTCAGCTAGAATTCAGAGAGCTCAGTCGACTTACCGGAGACCCCAAATACAAGGTCAAGACAACGGACAGTCTTTCTCAGTTAAGACCCGAACACTCATTTAAGCAATTCTGTTCTCATAGGAACAGGTGGTTACTTTTCTTCCGTTTCTTTCTGTAGCTGGCTGTAATGGAGGTGATGAAGCAGGTGCACAAATTGGATGGAAAGCAAGATGGGTTAGTGCCGATGTTTATCAATACCCACAACGGGCTGTTCACCCATCAGGGCATTTACACACTGGGTGCCAGGGCTGACAGCTACTACGAGTACCTGCTGAAGCAGTGGATACAAGGAGGCAAGACCGAGAACGTGTGAGTAGAGTCTCTATATGTTTGACCTTCAAACAGTTAATACCAAAATTTTAGCTGTAGTATGATGACATCCTTTAGTGCTAATCACAATCAGCTTGTAACACCCCAAAGAGAAAGGAAAACTTGAAATCGCATCATATGACCGCTTTAAATAAAAAATGGGTGACTGTTAATATTCAACTAAATATATGTATATACAGGTTCAGGTTCAAAGATTTATGTGCTCCCATTTTTTTTTTTTTTTCAGATTGCTGGATGACTACCTGCTGGCTGTGGAAGGCGTGAAGAAGAACCTCCTGAAGAAGTCTACTCCTTCCGATCTTACATTTGTAGGAGAGCTGTCCCATGGCCACTTCAGTCCCAAAATGGTATGCTTGTTCTCAAAGAAAAACAAGCCCTCAGGCCCAGCAGAATCAAATAGCTCATGTAGCCCCTTTTTTCCACCTTTCTTGTTTCTTTCAGGACCACTTGGTTTGTTTCCTGCCTGGCACACTTGCGCTGGGGGCACATTACGGCCTTCCTGCGGATCACATGGAGCTGGCAAAACAGCTGATGGAGACTTGCTACCAGATGTACGCCCAGATGGAGACAGGTCTGAGCCCGGAGATAGCTCATTTCAACATGCATGAGGGCAGCACACAGGATGTAGATGTAAAGGTGAGCTCAGGAAGAACTTTCAGTTGGCAGCTGTGAAATAGGCGTTTGTTTGTGAAATGAAATCGCCTTTGTGATCTCATAATGTCCTACAGATTGCAGACCGACACAACCTTCTGCGGCCAGAGACTGTAGAAAGCCTCTTCTACATGTACAGATTCACTGAGGATAAGAAGTACCAGCAGTGGGGCTGGGAGATCCTACAGAACTTCAATAAGTACACAAGGGTATGTGAGAGAGTGATGAAACTCTTCCACTGTCACCTTGAAATGTTTTAGAACATGCAAAACTGTGGAAGGTACATGTTGTGCACTGTGTCCAAATTTACATGTTTTCCATTCTAAATGGTATGTGAGATTCAAATGAGTGCATTGCCAATCATAGTGTCTTGAAAATAGTTTTCAGATGGTGTACTGTTTCTGGTGTATTTTTGAAGTTTGTGCTTTTGCATGATTTTCAGATAATGTTGTCCACAGTCCCATTGCTCAACAGTTTAATTATTTATACTACTGTTCAAAAGTTTTGAGATCAGTAAGTTTTTAAAAATTAATTTAAAATTTGAATTGAATTACATTTGATTTAATTAATACTTTTATTGAGCAAAAATGCATGAAATTAATCAAAAGTAACAGTAAATACATTTCTAATGTTACAAAAGGTATTTCAAATACATACTGTTCTTTTGAACTTTTTTTATTGATAATCTTGAAACAAATGTATCGTGGTTTTCAAAAAAATATTAAACAGCTCAGTTGTTTTTAACATTGAAACTAAGTAATATTTCTTAAGCACAAATCGGCATAATAGAATGATTTCTGAAGGATCATGTGACACTGAAGACTAGAGTAATGTCTGCTGAAAATTCAGTGTTGCATCACAGGAATAAGTTACATTATAAAACAAAATAAAAAAAAAAACTGCTATTTTAAATGTTAAGAAAATGCCAAAATATTACTGTTTTTACTGTACTTTTGATCAAATAAATGTAGCCTTGGTGAGCATAAGAAACCTCTGTCAAAAACATTTGAAAAACCTTACCAATTTTTCTTTTTTTCAGGCATGAAACTTTCTTTTAAATTAATAAAATATTAAAAGGACATGGAAAAGTTTAATTCAGCAAATTTTTGTCTAGTTGTGCTCAGTTGTAAAGTGTTTCTTTCACTAAAACTCTTTGTGAATGTGATCTCTAAAGTTAAAGTTAAAAGTAAAGTGAAGTAAAAATCCTTATCCATTCATCATTGGTCAGAAAATGTGGAATTGAATGCAGGCATATTGTAAGAAAAATGTGAGCCTCAAGACTGTGTGATTGTTTTTCATTCTGACCCAAAGCCAAACTTTGGTGCTTTGTCAGAACGAGACTCATGATATCATTGACTCACATCTGATTTTCATGTGTCAGATACGTTGCTACATAACTTCTCATATTTCTTGGTTTATTCAAACATTGCCTCGCTCCATTTCCAAATGTACTTGCACTTTCTCTCTCTGCTGTTCTGAACTTCACATTTAGCCTTCAGTTCATATCAACAGTTTACAAGAATGTTACCAAACAACCTTCAGTACAGACTCATGTGTTCAACTCCCCACAGGTTCCCACCGGAGGTTATACGTCCATAAACAATGTCCGTGACCCAGCCAATCCCAACCCTCGAGACAAGATGGAGAGCTTCTTCCTGGGTGAGACACTCAAATACTTCTACCTGCTGTTTTCTAATGACCCCAACCTTATCAGCTTAGACAAGTACATCTTCAACACTGAGGCCCATCCTCTGCCCATATGGCCACAAGCAGAGTGAAGGACCCACAAGCACACGTGCATAACCAAACACACCTCTCTCAGGGCCATGAACACATTTGATATCCAAACTGCCATCTTTTTCTATACTAGGAACTCTTTGTAATTGAAAGTCACTAACTGGTAAAACAACATTAAAACAGCCATGACAGAAACTGTTTGTAGATGTGTAGTTTCTGATTGTACTAGTAATCTGTATGTTTCTATTAATAGAGTTTCTTCATTTTTTACTCTATTTATGCTATTGTTATGCTGTCGATCAGCTAGGCTGCTGAATTAGCCCATTGAATCAGTATGCGCAGTCTCTCAGCCCAAGCACACGGACAAAAATGTTCATACTGTGAAACCTTATGGGGACTGCAAGCACTTTAATGGTGTGTTTTGGGGTTTTAGTGTGTGTGTTTTCTTATAATGAAAGAATTACTGTTGTTTCTGTTGTGGGGATTTAAGGAGTCTTTCACCATCATCTGATGGTCTATTTAGCTTTGTAAAAAATAGTTTTCTTTACATTATAAGTTTTATTATGCGAACATTTGAAACATTCGGTATAGTTATCAGGCAGCATTGTATGATTTTACCTTATCTCGTGTTCAAGCACATGCAAGGGGAAATGTTTGTGTTTTTATTAATTATTTCAAATATTTCTTTTATTTTGAGTTTAAAACCCCAACCTTGCTGTGAGGGATTTGTAAAATGTCATTCCTGTGAATAGGAGAAATGTACTTTTTTTTTTTTTTTTGATCTTGGGTTTTTAATTTTTAAAAACCATTATTATTATTTAGTTGCTGATTTGTATTTTTCAATTTGGTCCCACTTGTTGTGATTGCAGTCAGAATTATGTATTTTAATAGAGCATTAATCAAGCACAATGTTTTTAAGGATCTATATTATGGCAGTATTCACTCTTTCAGGGGACCTACATCAGATGTGATTGTGTCAGTAGTAATTTTATGTGTGTATGAAGAACTTCATGGTATTGGTAATTCTTTTGTAAAATATGAAAAATTGGATTTTGTTTTTTTGGGGTGGTTTTCTTAAAAGAATCTTCAAATTTCCACATGTTTTCTTACAGGAAGAGAAGTTGAGTGTTTGCTATTCATTTTTCGCTACTTATTACAGATCAGTTTGTGGGCCTGAGCTTAAATAGAATAGAATGTAAAAAAAAAAATTAAAAAAAAAGTCAACTTTTTTGACCATTAGAGAATATTCCTGCCGTTTACACAGATTACAGATGTACTATGTGCTCACTCTTTCAGGGGACCTACATCAGATGTGATTGTGTCAGTAGTAATTTTATGTGTGTATGAAGAACTTCATGGTATTGGTAATTCTTTTGTAAAATATGAAAAATTGGATTTTGTTTTTTTGGGGTGGTTTTCTTAAAAGAATCTTCAAATTTCCACATGTTTTCTTACAGGAAGAGAAGTTGAGTGTTTGCTATTCATTTTTCGCTACTTATTACAGATCAGTTTGTGGGCCTGAGCTTAAATAGAATAGAATGTAAAAAAAAAAATAAAAAAAAAGTCAACTTTTTTGACCATTAGAGAATATTCCTGCCGTTTACAGATTACAGATGTACTATGTGCATTGTATTTGAAAAGCTTGGTTGAACATTACATCTCACTGTGCAGAATCTTACATTAATATCCCAGTCTTTTATGTAGTATGTAAATTAAAACCACTGCAGATGTTCATCAAGGGCTGAGCATTAACCGGTTTCTCGTTGTCGTGGTGTAGTGAGGTGTTCTGTTCCGCATGTGCCTTTACATACAGAGCAATGACAAATGTCTATTTTCAATCCAGAGAATCAAGTTATGAGAATTCAATCTGTTTTAAATATCTCAGTCCTGTTGTGAAGCTAGCTACAATTTGTTTTATGTGAATAAATACTTTTGTGATTATTTGTAATACAGTGTGGAAGTGTTAAATTAGCTTGCTATCTGTATTCTATTTCTGGGTATTTTATTTTCTCTCATTGTGTGAGAAACTGAAGACAGCTAAACTCAATTGAGCTTGTGTATCTCAGATTTAAAATGAAGGGCTTTTCATGCCTCGCTCTTAATTGTTTGTGCAAATGTCTCAGAATATTAGATGCCTCATGCATATTGACAAATCAACATCATTTTGAATCATTCATACACCAAAGACATGAACTTCAAAAAATATTGTAAAACAGGAGTGATTAAACAAGTAATATGTGGTACAGCTGTACATATTCCTTGTAATGAAACATAAGAGTGAGTTTGTACATTTTGATTTTTTTTTTCTTTTTATTGATATATTTCTTGAATGTACCTTTTTAATGTCCATTTCTGTGAGAAATAAATGGATTTAATCAATATTTTACAAGTTTACAATGTTAATAATAAATTGTACATAAAAATGAACTCATGATGACTCCTTCATTGCTGCCTTCACCCATTGAGCAATGATTTCAGACTCCTTCTTCCGAGCCACAATCACAGACTCAGGATCGTTAGGATTGGACTCCCTGAGGGGGGAAAAAAACAAAAAACAAATGGAAGAATGATCAGATGACAAAGCCAAATATGCATTTTATTGTCTTCATTTCTCTCAAAGTTATACACAAGTTCTGAAAATTTGCACCTTAAATCCAGATGATGAGCTCCCTCTGGTATGTTGATTGCAATCAGTGATGGACTGAGTGACTTCCTGATCTACAGGTGAAAATAATTCCATAGTTTCACAGAGAAGCACAACAAAACCGCAAAACCTCAACAGCAACCAATAACAAGGGAATTACTGAAGTGAATTATTCAGATCATCATTTTTAGTGAGGGAAAAAAAACTTTTAAAGTAAAACTGTCTTACCCCTCCATTAGCCCAAGGATCAAGATCACCATTGGAAAATATGATATTGCTTGCGGTGGAGAGATCTAGAAGACCAAATTCAAATGGATGCAACACTGAGCTCCCATTTCATTGCAAACATCCAATGAATATTAAAAGGACCAAAGACAAGCAGAACCTGATGTATAATCATGAGGTAAAACCTTTCCCTTTTTAAAAAAAAAAAGAAAGAAAGGCACTCTTTGGTAGTTACAGCTTACCGTCGCCCCAGTACTGAGTCTTCAGCCACCCTGGACGCGGCGCCACCCCCCATCTCTTTGAGCAATACTGTTCTCTCTGCTGCTCGGTGAATGTCATAGGCGGGAACATGTCTGTCACATTGTTACTCTCATAGCACATCTCGATCTCAGTGCAGGCCTAAAAAACAAATACATTTTTTATATACAAATACAAGTGAAAAAAGTCTGTTCATACTATAATGACCCTAATACATCGGATTAAACTTTAAAACAAATTTCTTTACCGAAGTAATTTAACATGAATTTCTAAATATCATAGTGTCAAGTATTTGGACTGAAGAACTTTGGAACCTGGCGACGATTTAGTATTTCTGGTTGTCAATGGTCTTTTTGGAATGGGTTTTTGGTTAATTGCCAGAGATAATGTGGTTAACTGAAGAGTATCATAGTAAAGCTTTTACATGTCTTGGAAAAGGTGGTTGCTAACAATTAGCTAAGAGGTTTTCAGGAACATTATACATCATCACATGCTCTTGCAATCTATTCCAATTGGAATCATATTGCGACCATGTTGTTTGTTTATAGCCTACGTTTAGATTTTTACTCATGATGATTGTATTTAGGCTTCAAAATTCATAAATGTTCAATTTAAAGTTTATCTTGATGAACAATTTGTGTAAGAATCAAACATTTGTTGGAGATTTTTTTTCTGCAATAATCCAAAAGCCAATGGAAAAATCATATTGGAACCAGGGCGACGCAAACTTCTGTGTTGGCCTACAAAATGACGTCATCTCTGCAGCAGTGTAGTCTCCAAATAAATCTGTTTTACTAAAGACTTGTGTTAAAATCTAATATTCGGGGTTTAGAGAGAAGTAATCAAGGTACCTGGTAATCCCATGCATAGCTGTCAAAGCCAAGGCCACAGCCGGTGGGGTCAGCACACTCCACATAGAGACTGTAGAGGTCATAACATGTGAGCTGGCCAGTGGAATTATACACCATGCCTGTGGGGCGGCACAAAATGAATGCAGAAGCCTTTTGAGCCTTGCCAGTACCAGAGGGATTTAAAAAAGAAACCGAAAATGAAATCTGTGCAAAGATGCTCTCATTTACCGACAGTATCTCGGAGTGCCGACATGAGATCAGTGCCATTCAGCATGGTTTCACACGCCACCTGTAAAAGTAAAAAGCACTGCGATTTATCTTTAAGACACACAATCACACCGGTTCAGTTCCAACTGCAGGAACTGCACTGCTAAGCCATTTTAAATGGAACCAGATGGGCTGGAATGGTTTCATTTGCTATATGCATCAGGAAAACATTTGATTAACACCATTAGGTTTTGCATTATGCACTGAAGTATTTCAGGGGCAAGCTTTTATTTTTTTTATGCTATCCCCTTTCCATTTGGTGATGGGGTTGGCTGAATATTCATGCTAGTGACAAGTCCAATACCTTCACAGGGAAGGCTGGCATGCTGCCCATGAAATGAGTGCTGTAGGGATAATCCAACATGGCCATCATGGTGAAGGCGTTACGTAAGAGTCCCATCAGCTGATGAATGTCCTTTGGGGTGGAGGGAGTTTTACACAGGGAGAAGGCAGACTGGATGCGTCTGTAGTCTATGAAGTATAAATGGGAAAACATGGAGAATGAAATCCATTTGCATGCACAGACTGAACACGGTTATCCATTCTGAGTGAATGGCAATGGATACCTTTCTGTTGTGCCAAAGTGTTGAGCTTCTGGAAAGCTCCTTGCACTGAATCTCTGCAGGCAGGCTTAAACTTCTCAAAATCCTGAATAAGCAAACAGAACACATCAATATTATGCTAATACAAAATCATAAGCACTTTTATGTACAAAAAGTATTACATTTTAAAGGCATGCTTTAAAACAAAAGAAAGGGATTAAATGTGAACATACAGCGGTAACATCCTGGAAAAACTGTCTAGAGTCTCCAAGACCTGCAGTGGACAGGATGGGAGCACTAGCGGCTAACGCCCCAGTCACAATATTAGGGTACCTTATTCTCATGTAAACGCTTAACATTCCTCCATAGCTGAAAAAACAGACATAACATACACAACCGGTTACAATAAGTTTAGAATAATGATTTTATATACAGTAGTCAACATTTGAAGTGGATCAAAACCTTTCATAGTTGTCCTAAGACAAGAACGCATTTTGGTTTTAGGAGTTATTTGATGAAAGGTTTTGATCCACTTCAAATGTTG